ATTCACACACACATAAAAAATTATAAAAATAAATACATAATACATTGTAAAATGTATTCATATGTGCCTGTGTATTAATCTTATAGCAATATTTTTTATTTATGCATACATACATATATTTAATTATATTTTTAGAAATGTATAAATTCATATATCACTTTGTTTATATATATATATATATATATATATGTGTGTGTATGTACATTCACATGATATAAGACATATTTAAAAGATTATAATAAACACAATACATTGCACAATGTATTAATATTATATGATATTTAGTGAATAAAGTGTAAACAAAATTTCATATTATATAAATATTTTATAGCGTTTTTATTTAGTTGCATACAATAGTCAGAAATATAAAAATACTATTGATAGATGATTATAACAATTACTATATTTTTTTATTATTATTTAAAAATTCTCTAAATTCATACTCTTTAAAATGCCACTGCAATGCTGGTTGAAGAAAGTCCATTGCTCTCAACAACAGATTGTTCTGTTCCTTTTAGTTAGGCTCAATGTAACTATTTTTTAACACAAGAGTGGATTTTATGTAATATAACGCCTCCTAAAAAATAGGATAATCGACTCTAAACTAGGTTGATTAAGACTGACTAGTCATTCAGACAACCCCCTAGCTAGTCAATTCTGAATACACACATCCCAAACACACACTCACACTTTGCACAATTTCACGAAGCAATGTGATGATAAATTGCCATTTCAATCCCAACGAGCGAGTCAAATCTGGTTGTGTTTGTATGTGCCTGTGATACAGCATAATCCTTTTACTTCAGAATTCTGTCACCGGCAAAAATCCCTCCCTAAAAAACCCTCTGCTGCACACTGAGTTTTACAGAGCTTCCCATCTCAAGTGTTTGAGAAAACCGCAGTCAACATATTAGCACCAAGGAACCAGCTCTCCTTGATCAGATGAGATATTCAAGTCGGTTTTGGTGCCAATCAGGGCCAACGTCTCGCAAGTCTAAAAATATGGGCTCAGTCTTCAGTCTGTCTTGTTCTGTTGCAAAATATAGTGTTTTTAGGCAGCTGCTCATTGAGAAACAATATTTTTCTGAAGCGTGTCTTCCCTTTTGAGTGTGACAGAGCAGCGCCACTGGTGTCTTCCCCGAAAACAGCTGACGGCCTTAAACACCGCATGTCACTGGCAAAGACTTTACTCCTCCATTGCAATCTCAAATCTGTATTTTTAGGCTGATAAGACACTCGGAACAATATAAATCAGCTCAATGGCTCTGAAACAACCCCTGGGCAGCCTTGAATTTCCTGACATCTTGAAGTTTAATTTCATCACTTTTGAAAAAGAATATGTTAACGATTCCAACCAATGATTACACTACAATGACAGAAATTCAGATTTTTCAATCATACATGAAGCAGAAACAGATTTACAGTCAGAGATGTGTGATTACCTTTCAGATGAAATGAGAAATACTGTATGACCTAGAGAAAATCTGCTCTTATGAAAAAGGAATATAGAAGATAGAAGTGCATACTGCGTATTACACTAATGAGTCCTAGTCTGCCAGACTTTAATGTGGATTTTATTTTTGTGCCATAGATTAAATGGATGAGAACTAATGATAAAATGTAGCATCACTCATTTGTCAATGGATATAACAGCACTGACTTCCCTTTAATATCACTGAGCACCTTCTGCATATAAGCTTATATTCTACTAAATTCAAAGCTTTTACACAAAAAACGCTTTGCACAAAAGGTTAATCTAAGTCAATAGTGAAAAACACTAAGCGGTACATTTCGCAAAATGTACAGAATTCTTTTACAAACAGGTTTCTGGTGTCATAATTCATAACAAACAAACAAACACATAAATAAATAAATAATATGAATGATAATTAATAATATTTAGAAAAGAAATAAACAACACAAAACACAATAAAATAAAATAAAATAAAATAAAATAAAATAAAATAAAATAAAATAAAATAAAATAAAATAAAATAAAATAAAATAAAATAAAATAAAATAAAATAAAATAAAATAAAATAAAATAAAATAAAATAAAATAAAATAAAATAAAATAAAATAAAATAAAATAAAATAAAATAAAATAAAATAAAATAAAATAAAATAAAATAAAATAAAATAAAATAAAATAAAATAAAATAAAATAAAATAAAATAAAATAAAATAAAATAAAATAAAATAAAATAAAATAAAATAAAATAAAATAAAATAAAATAAAATAAAACAAAACAAAACAAAACAAAACAAAACAAAACAAAACAAAACAAAAATTAAAATTTCTGGTGCCTTTTTTTCTTTTTTGGATTGGGTAACTTGTCAACTAGTCAAAGAAGCCTGAACAACCACAGCATGTTTTGTTTTTATGTGATGTTTAGAAGTGGGTTTATCTGACATAAATAAATAAATAAACAAACAAACCATACCTATCAAAACAAAGAAATATATTTAATAAATAAAATAAAAAATAAAACAAAAAAAATAAAATATAAAATAAAAATAGACCATCACAGAAAAAAGAAAATCACTCAAAAGGCTGCAGAGTGCTGATCTGTGACTATCTGCATAAAATAATAATAATAATAATAATAATAATAATAATAATACAATCAGAATTATTGTCTGTCTAAAAGCAATAAGGACAGATTATTTTACAGAAAGTTTAGAAAATAAAGCAAAATATAGAGTTCTGTTGATGGATATCTAGTTTACTTAAGTTTGAATATTACATCTAAATATCTTTCAAAGATTGAATTCCACTATCCTGATTTTCTAGTGATTTTCATGTGTACTGGTGCATCGTCTCACTCCGAAAAAATGTGTAAAACTAGCCAATCAAATTGCTGATTTTCTTCGAGCTATTGTCATTTTGAGTGTAATATGCACAAAGATGGTCAGTGAACAGACTGAAGCTGAGACAATTTCCCAACTGGACAACAGCCAAAACAAACCCAAATGAACCCAAATTGGTCAAATAAACCCGTATGAAACATCGGGAGGAGCAGACTGTCCAAAGTGTTGTTAGAAAGCATTCCACGCTCAGCATTATTTGACAGGAACATGTTCCATCTCTAAAAACAGCCATGAGCACAAAGAACGACCCTCCAGACCTATGTTAGCGCAGATCGAGGCCAGACGGGGTGCGCTCTACCCTCATGCTGCTGCTGCTGCTAACCTTGCCCACTGCACTTAAGCACAACGCAGCTGTATTAAGAGAGAAAGCCACACTCTTCACGCTGCTGCTGGTGTGTGCTGACCCATGAAGGGTCTGCGCTTCTTTAAAGGGATGTAGCAGCAGGAAACAGAGCTAAAACCCCCAGGCAACCCAAGTTCTCTGTCAACCAGATCTTAGATCTAAAGTGCCCCGATGTACTAATTTGGTCAACAAGGTGAAACGTGTGAGTGAATAAATCAGCCAACCATCAAAGTCAACAGAACCTGACTGTTTTTAGCTAATTAAGAAAGTGAAGGGAATTTATTGAGCTGGGAAACGATAACCACCAAAGTCATACACTGCCATTCAAGGTTTGGGTTCAGTAAGATTTTTTTAGTTTTTTTACTTTTATTAAGCAAGGATCCATTAAATCAATGACAATTATAATGCTATCTCAAATAAATGCTGTTCTTTTAAACTTTCAATTAATCAAAGAATCCTAAACAAAAAAGTATCACGGTTTCCACAAAAGTATTAAGCAGCACTTAACATTTTTCACCAGTGATTATAACAATGAATGTTTCTTGAGCAGCAAATCAGCAGGATCATGTGACACTGAAGACTGGAGTAATGATGCTGAAAATGCAGCTTTGCGTCATAGAAATAAATTACATTTTAAAAGATATTCAAATAGAATACAGTTATTTTAAATTGTAATAATATTTCTATTTTTACTGTATTTTTGATCAAATAAATGCAGCCTTAGAGAGCAAAGACGATGTTTTTTCAAAAACATTTTTAACAATCTTACTGACCCCGAACTGAACAGTAATGCATGTCATTATTCAATCCATCACAGTACACAACAAAATGACTGGATCGTGATTGATACTGCAGCAAATGAATGAGAATGAGAAAATAAATCTTTAGTATCAGTCTTAGTCTCTAATGCACACTGCAAAAATGATTATGCTAGAACAAATCTGTTTCCTTTCATTTAACATGCAGTTTCTGATGTTTCTACTCGATTTTATGCATTCTTCAGGCTGGAAGACCGGCTAGACCAACTTAAACCAGCTTAGACCAACAAATCATCTTAAGTTGTTGTTGTTATTTTTCAGCACGGAAGACTATAAAAATAAACATTTGCAAGCACTGATATGAATAAGACTTCATTTACAGAGAAATAAACCATTTGGATTGCAGTATTATGTAAGCGGAGCCTAGTTTTCACGACAGGAGAGCCAAATCTGCTTCAACACCACTGCTTTAACTGTGCTTTAAGCAGTTACGTTTCAAAAATGCATGCAAGTCTAATGTAATTGGCTCTTTTGCATCTTAAGAGACAATTGCAAGTTGCATCGATGTGGAAAGTAAATTGCACTCATTTTATAGAGCTCATAAAAAAAATCAAATGAGCTTAGAAAGCCAATCTAAACCTAGATTAAAAGCTTCATTTAATGTGAAAATTGCTCAGGGAATACGCAACATCTGTTTCTGGACTGACAGAGTCTCGTCCAAGGTTATCTTGTACAAACAACCATTTACAGCCTTGAAAACCGTCAAGAATTCACAGCAGGAGACTCTATCAGGAACCGGTATTAAAGTTTGCAAGAAATAGGTCTGCTTATGTGACAGTTGTTTCAGGACTGAATCCACGACCTTGGAGATGCTTTTACACCGCTGGCTGTTACTCGGGAGGTTTTACCAACGTCTCGCTGACACGTTTGTGGTCAATTTCCTTGCCGGCATCAAACGCAATTCCCTGGAAAAGATATGTCGGGCACGTTCATTAGTCATAAACGCACAAGCCAAGAGAACCGCTTACCTTTCGGATGACTCGGGTCTGTGAACTCGTACTTCCCCATTCCGACCGTACGGAGCATCTGAAGCCTGATCGGACTTTCCTGATTGGCTGATGCCGGCTGAGTCGTCGCCTGTCCGTTCGTTAGTGGCAGCGCGGCGGAAGGCAAAGCAGGTGGCTGTATGAGCGGGTGTGTCATGTGACCGTTTCCCACCACGCTCTGAGGGGCGGGGTGAACTACCCGGCCGGCCGTCGTGAGGGGCGATGGGGTGATTGGCAGCTGGCTGGTGGCGTAGGGTGACTGGTTCTGTAGGTTTAGGACCAGGCTACCTGGCACTTGGGAGGAGAGGGGAGGAAGCTGGAAGTGGGCGGTCATGAGTGGATGGTGCGGTGGGATGGGCGTCTGGATGGCTGGGGTCACGCCGATGATGGGAGACTGGACGGACACTCCTTGGCTATAGGCGGGTGGCTGAGGCATCCCATACGAATGGGCCAGTAAGCTGGGCTGACTGGCCGCTACCCCTGGAGGCACCCATGGGGGCCCTGAGGAGCATGAAAAACCAAGTCAAGGACAACCAACAACACATCTGACATTCAGCCGTACACTTCATCTGGGGGAAACTGTGATACTCAATTATTGTTATATGGCATCTATTCTTGGGTAAGGAGGTGTTTGCTAAATAACAAAAGAAGGAACTTTTGGATGCCATTTGGAGGAGCTTCATTTAAAGTCTATGTGAATTGCTGTTGATATTACCTCTAGTAATGAGACAATTTTCCAATGAAACTGGATATTCAACGAGAAACAAACTAAACTAAATGTAAGCTAGGACTTGCAATAGACATTTGGCTGTCAGTTAGAATAACCTGCATGGCCTAAAGAATAACACATACTGATTAATCCCTCACAAAAGGAAGAAAAAAATATACACTACCATTTAAAAGTTTTGGGTGACTTTTTATTGTTTAAGTAAATTAATTATTATAATTTTTTTTAGCAAGGACACATTAAATTGATCAAAAGTGTCAGTAAAGATATTTAATATATCTATTTCAAATAAATGTTCTTTTGAAAATTTTTGAGCAGTTTTCACAACAATATTAAGCAACACAACTGCATTGATAATAACAAAACATTTTCTTGAGCAGCAAATCAGCATATTAAAATATTTCTGACAGATCATGTGACACCGAAGACTGGAGTAACGATGCTGAAAATTTAGCTTTGCATCACAGGAATAAATTACATTTTAAAATATATTGCAATACAAAAGAGTTATTTTAAATTGTAATAATATTTCACAATATTACAGTTTTTTCTGTATTTTTGATCAAATAAATGCAGCCTAGGTGATCATAAAAAAATTCCAACCCCTAACTTTTGAGCAGTAGTGTATTAAAGCAACTGTGGTCAATTTTGATATATTGTTGGCTTTAACCCATAAGTCACCACCAACCATGTTTTAAAATAAACAGTATGTAAAGTCACAGCAGTGAACCATTTGCTATTCAGAAGTACAGTAGAAGCTATTAGCAGACATTGACATTTAAACAGCATCTGATTGTACAAAAAATTGAGTCATAATATTTTTTTCTCCATTTTTCAAGAAGAGAGTAGAGTTGAAGTACACTATCTAATAGATGGTCTCATAATGTGATATCAATTCTTCAATCTTCAGAGGCACATGTAGGTCTGATTCTTCTTAGATTTTCTCATTTTCCAGCAGTGACTCGGTGGTGCTGATGCTCGAGTCAACCCAGGGTTTGGTTCTGGATGTGGGATTTACTCATAACAACTCCATTTTCTGCTATGACAAGGGCATCCACTGGAAAATATTTCTTTCTTTATGCATTATTCATCTTTTGAGGGTCACATCAGAGTCATTCAGCAATGCAGTAATGCACCAAGGTTACAACACATGAGCGTACGCATAAGGCAAAAACTTGCTCTTACTGTTTATATTCATCTCTACACTATCACTATAATTTAAAAGACAGACAGCGTTATGATAGCAGATTCTACGGGTGCTTACACACCAGAGCAACCTCATCTGACGGAGCATTTGATTAACATTGGGTATAGAAAAGAAAATCCAGCTGTATTTACTTTCACCCAAGTGAAAGATATAACACCAAAATGTCAGAAAAGAAAAAAGAAAAAACAGAATCATGGAGTTGGAAAAAGGATCACCCCCTTGTGTCAGTATTTTGCTGAACCACCTTTGGCTTTAATTACAGCCTTTAGTCTGTTGGGATTTGTCTCCACTAGCTTTGCACATCTAGACATTGCAATATTTGCCCACTCTTTGCAGAACTGCTCAAGTTCATTTCAGTTTGATGGTGAGCGTTTGTGGACTGCAGTCTTCCAAGTCATTGCACAGATTTTCAGTGAGGTTTAAGTCTTGGCTCGGACTAGACCATGCAAGAACATTCACCTTTTTCTCCTTCAACCGCTGTGTGCTCAGTTTTGCTGTGTGCTTTGGGTCATTGTCATGTTGGAAGGTAAACCTTATTCCCATTGACAACTTTCTGGCAGAGGGCAGCAGATTTATGTCCGCCAGACATATTGTTTGGTGTTGAGGCCAAATAATACAATTTTAGTCTAATCTGCCTCAGTCATGACTGCATGTGGCCTTTCTTGAGGAGTGGCTTTTTTCTTGCAACCCTCCCATACAAGCAACATTTGTGGAGAATTTGTGATATTGTTGTCACACGCACACAATGACCACTCTTTGTCATAAATTCCTGAAACTGTTTCAGAGTTGCTCTAGGTCTCTTGGTCGCCTCTCTGATCAGTTTCCTCTGATCCAAACGTCCTGATCCAGAGAGGGTCTGTGTCGTACCAAATACCTTCCACTTCTTAATAATAGACTTCACTGTGCTTCTAGGCATTGATAAAGCCTTTGAAATGTTTTGTATCCGCAGGGATTAAAGTTCTGTCGCTACGACGGATTTCCATCAGTTCATAAAGAACTGCTTCATTCAAGCCGTTCGAACGAATCAATTGAATGAATGATTCAGTGCTAAAATCAGTGACTTGCTGCCACCTGCTGGCGGATTTAGTTTCATTTTTAGCGTATAATTTCAGTTATTTAAATCATATTTCTGTATTCAAAATGTTATATTTAAAATATTAATCTCCACATGAATTTATGAATTTAATTGCACTCATGCTACCTCTGAGCCTCATTAAACGTCTGAAAATTTACCTATAAGCCACTTTTGTGTTCTTCTGTGCCACCTCTGTAGCACAGATTAAATTATTAATACTAATTCCATATGATTTGTAACTTATTGATAAGTTGCACTGAGTAAATACAGCTGGATAAAACAAAAACCATGTCCGTCTTTATTTCAGGCTGCAAAGCAACAAAATGTGATTATTTGAAGGGGGTGATTCTTTTCTATACCCACTGTATATAAAGGTGTAAAAGATGCATGTTGCCCATTATAGTTTGGTACACACGTCAGAACCGCTTTCTCCTTGCAGAAGATCTCCATGCGTGCAACGGAGGAATTTTAAAGGATTTAATAAGGTCTTTGTGAGTTATAAGCGGGTAAAAATACCACATGTATACATATAACAAGCAAATTCAGTCCAGCATGGTTTTGGATGACTGATAAGTTCAGAAAAAAATATATGTCACAAAAGTTGTTCAGGTTGTGGCCGTATCCTTATGCCCTATGTTTGGTATCATTAGGTTGGGTGTTCAAAATTACATTGTAAATGCTAAGCGAACTTCACCCTTCTGGCATTCCAAAACGGATTTTCTTCTGCAAAACAGAAGATATTTTGAAGAACGTTGGGGCCCAAACAAACTTGGACCCCATTGGCTTTCATTGTATGGTCAAAAAACATTGACACATTCTTCAAAATATCTTTTGTGTTCCACAGAAAGCATGTATGGGTTTGGAACGGCATAATGACGAGTAAATTATGACACAATTTAGATTTTTAACTATCCTTTTAAGTCTCAGATTGAGTCTTTTTAAGCATAATGTCACAGGAGGGAAACCAGATTGCTACTGTTTACCGTACAGTTTACTCACAATGCAACATGGCAGATTTATCTCATGAATATGTGCTCTTGTGGCCCCGTGCCCTTCCTCCTCTGCTGCAAAAATAGCTCCTCAACAATGATGGTCCATAACACAAAATACACCAGGCGTCGAAAAGATTAAAAAACATTAATCATGACACTGGCCTTTACCGCACTATAGTCTGAAGAGACGGAAATATACTAGCGGGAATAGATTCACCTCAGCCTGAATGAGGTGCGTGCATAATTCAGAACAAACTAAAGGATAGCTGCACTCAATTTCAACCGCCACGTACACGCTAACAAAAGAAAGTCCAATATTTCCTAGTCTATGAGACACAAAAGTGCTATTAACCAAAAACGTAATTCCCAGAGCATTTAAGTGTTTTCTGCAGATTTGTGCACTGCAATCAAGTCTTTTGACGAAAAATCTATCATTAGATTATTAAAGAAAGAAATAAATAAGAATGAAACTCAATTATAGCCCTTGCTTCTGCGCTGAAAAGCTAATGAAATTAGCAGTATGGATCCTAGCGCTGATTGCTCATATAATTACAATGTGCACGGGGATAAAATCGTTGTTTCATAAGAGTGCTTTGTCCTTTCCGAAAAGTCTAGATCTCTTTTTTTTCTCAAGTTAATTCAACCACTAATTATTACAAGGGTCTTTTTTTTTTGATGAATTTAAATTAAAGTGCAAATCAACATCATGCGAGAGCCAATTGTTTGTGAAAGTTTGGGAAAAAGTTTTCCCGAAATGACTTCCTCACTGTGCACTGCTAACCGTCATGATTAATTAATGCCCGCAGAGTCGTTATGTTGCTTTTTTGTCTCAGAGTTAATGGGAAGCAGATCTCGGCTCCAGATATGTCATATTACACCGAGCGCTGTCGAACGAGGGGAAGTTGAGTGACATCTCACTTTGTGTTTCGGGGAAGGTGCTGGAAAAGCGTCCCTGTAGAGCGCAACACAATGCTAACGCTCCCTCCTTCTGTGAGACTTCGGTTCCTGCTTAAACGCCTCAGCGGGGGGCCCCTGTGGAGGCCCCGGGGGGCTTGAGAGAAGCCGATACAAAACACACGCAACTGTCCTCCTCAACAGCGATGTCCAATTTCCCACGTATAATGACTCAGGAGAGGCTAGTCAGGCCAGCAGTCTGTCTTTATTAACAGATCATTCAGGAAACGTCCGTGTAAAGTGCATTACTTTGGTCGACCCCTCATTATGCCTCGATTTTCTCTGTTTGATGCTACGGCATGATGAATTTCAAAGCAATATCTAAAAACTCAAAGACGCATGAGCCCACGTAAGCTCATTTGAGCAGGGAAACGGCATAACTAGGTGTACGTCAATATATGGTAATTTCATGAATCTGAGACCAGTTCTAGTCCTGGAAGCTGATTGGTCAAGAGCGCATTCCATTCCATCTGAAGACACACCTCTTCTACAATCTGCAACCATAAACTAAGACATGATTATGATGTGGTTTAATGATTAGTCGCTTTGGATAATGGGTGTATAAAATCCACAATATAAATATAAAGATAAATTAGTGCTGTCAAACGATTAATCGCATCCAAAATAAAGGTTTTTGTTTACAGAATATATGTGTGTGTTCTGTGTATATGTATTATGTATATATAAATACACACACATGCGCCTGAACACACATATATAAATACACACACATTTTGAAAATATTTACATGTATATATTTATATGCATATAATTTATATTATATATAAAAATATTTAATATATAAACATAACATAAGATATTTTTCTTAAATATATACATGTATGTGTGTGTATTTATATATACATAATAAATATACACAGAACACACATATATTCTGTAAACAAAAACTTTTATTTTGGATGCGATTAATCGTTTGACAGCACTAATATAAATATAAATATAAATATAAATATAGAGTTGTCCACACTGAAGTTTATTCTGATCAGGAAGCTCCTACTTAGAATTATTTCTTTATCTGAAATAATAATGATAATAATAATAATTATTATTATTATTATTGTTGATGTTTTTTTTGTGTTTTTTTTACAGTTCTACAAAAGTTTCCACACAAAAACAATAATATTATTGAATGTAGTTTTATGCATGTAGTATTATTAATTGTATGTAGTATTGGATGTCTTCAATAATAATGATAACTATATAGACTTTTTTTTAGTTTTCTCAATATTGTTTTTTTAGGTTTTTTAGAAAACAATCATTTTACATTTTAGGTATATTTCACAATATTGCTATTGCTCACAATATTGCTTAAAAAATTAAGTACTGATTTCTAAAAAAAAAAGAAAAATGTTCTCAGTTGTCTCTGATTTACTTTTTTAAATCAAGTATTATTATGAGGGGAAATATCTTATTTTTATTTTATTTTATAGTGAGATGTTGACCATTAACTGGTTGAGTAAAATCAAAACTATTTGTTTTAAACCCCTGTTTTATGATTTAATTCATTCATATAGCGGCAGCTTGCATCCAAATTGAATTTCAAATGAGGAAAACAACACAAGCAACTCATCGAAGGGAAGCATAATGTTTGAAGGATATGTATGAAGGAACAGATGAAGACGGGGGTTGATGTACCTGTGGTGTCGCTCTCTCTGTGCTGCTTGGTGGGAGGCTCGTCGGTCTCCCACGGAGTGGACTGGTTGATGGGGGTCTGGCCCCATCTCACTCCAGGAGCCAACAGGAGACTCGGAGGCTGTGTCTCACCAGGAGAAAGACCCGCCGCCTGCAAAGAGACAATACATACGATTGAGATCAGACTATATGACACAAAACAGCTTGTACCAACAGCTTCTATCAGTGGGACTTTTCACCCAATCACACCAACCAAATGAATGGACTGAATGAATCAAAAGGACACGTGAAGCCACCTTAAAACACAACACCACAAAAAGAAAACGCTAAATAAATTAGGAAAAGCAGAGCAATTTACTGCATCTTCCAAAACGGGTTCATAAACCCTAGATTTAATGGGTCATTTTATGTTGTTACAAATTCAATTTTACTTTATACCAATTCCAGATTCTGATTACGTTCTATTCACAACAAAAAAAGTAATATTCTACCCTAATATAAATTTGAATAACAGTAATTAAAATATGTAAATGACACTTGTGTGTGTTTATGTCAGGTTTCCGCTTTTACGATTTCCTCGGCGTTTTCTGAAATGGCTGAAATTATGAGGCTCTAATTACACATTGTGAGGGAGTCTGGCTCTTATAATCAGTATTTCTTAAGTTCTTAGAAGTACTCATGTCAGACTAGGATTGGTGATTAATTATTTAGCATAAGAGCAAGAAAACTAGAAGTGTTGTGGAGACAGTTACTTTTATGGTACATATACAGTGTACCATAAAATGAGATTTAAACCCAGGCCAAAAAGATTAGAAAGATTAAATGGCTTCATCAAACAGCGTGATTGCGGAATGTTTTTATATTTGGATTGACC